TCCAGTTGTAGGTGAGCCTCAAGTTTGTATACTCACACCTTTAGAAACCCTTTTTTTTAAACTTCAACACTCAAAGAGAAAAATAAATCCAAAAAAAAAAGGAAAAAAGGAAGAGGAAGAGGAAGAGAAAGAGAAAGAGAGAAAAAATACCCATATGTTCATCCATTCATTGGATGTACATGGCTGCTTATCTCAAATACACGATTCTGGGCAGCTAACAGTATTAAAAAATAATAAAACTACATACACAAAAACTAAAGCACATAGCAGCTGAGAAAAAAATCACACGTCATGTCAGTGACAGAAAATATCCAAGAGTGGAATGGAGGATTTTCAGCAATTCTCTTCCCTCCTGCACCCATTGCATATTTCCCAGCACTGCTTCAGATGTTATGGGGAGGCAGAAGAGAAGTTGCTGCAAATGGATCCCTTGTTCTGGAAGTGATGCCTTCCGCCAGCAGAATGACATCCATTGGACACTATTCTAAATACTTTGCAAAGGACTATTTACTGAAGCAGTGAAAGTTTAGGTGTTGAACCAGGACCTAATTCAAATCCAGTATTAGCATCAGAAGTCCATTGGATGACTTTGAGCCTGTCACCAAAACTTAGCCCAGTGCCTCACAAGGTCATTGATCTGCTAAAATAAAAAAAAAAGGGGGGGGAGTGCTATGGGCTTTGAGCTCCTGCAGAAAAAGTAATCTCTTTTGAATTGAGCTTGACATCTAAAAACTTCATGTGCCCATGAGGAAGGTTGCTATGGTCTTCTTCCAGGATGTTTCTTCAACTTCCTAGTCTATCCTACAGCCCTGGTTATTTCCTTGTGGCTCCTATCCGATATTAACCAGATCCAACCCTGCTTAGCTTTTCAAATCAGCCAAGATTTGCTAGGTACTACAACTTGAGCTGGGTTCCTCAAGAAAAGTGGGATATTATGCTAATTAATAAACATTTAGGTTTCAGATTGATTTAAAAAAACTGTTTTATAAATGTCACAGCATTTGCCAATAATTTAAATTTAGCTAGCTTTTTTAAAAATGTAGTTATGTACACATGCATAGCCCTAGAAAGAAGGCAATGGCAAACCACTTCCAAAATCTTGCCAAGAAAGCTGCAGAGACTTGTCCAGGAAGTCGCCAGGAGTCAACACAGACTCAAAGGTACAAAAAACAAACAAGAACAAGAAACCATGCATACCTTTAATAGGTATACAGTTATAACTCTGTACAGATTTCATCAGAATAATGCAAACTAGTTTTTAAAAAGAGATTAAAAGTAGGAAAACAATTAAAATAATAACAGAATTTTATACAGGCAAGATTGCGTGAGACAACAACTGAATAAAAGTGAATTAACAAATAGGTGTTTTTAGCATTCATTTTACTGTTCACTCTGCAAATATGGAGCTCATAGCTGCAGCCAAAGCTGCAAAGATACACTTTATTTTCCAGATATTGAGGAATTCAATTTCTGAAAGAACTCATATGTTGAAAAGCTAGAGTTAGCAGAATAAAGATTATGCGGGTAAATCTTTGAGAGAATGCAAGGCATAAAGGAAATTCATCCTATCCAACAAACATTCTCAAGATTTTAATGCATTTGCTCCCTTAATAATAAGCTCTTGTGCCTATTGATCTGAACAGCATCAGCATGGATAATGTTTTCAACATCAGTTTGCTTAAAATATAAATTATCTCAAAAACGTATGCCCTCCCTGAGATTTTAGTAGTAATACTACCAACACTAATTCTAACAAACAGAAATGTTTAGCCTATATCACTAACACAAGGTTACAAGCTGATATGCTGGCCCAATACATTAAGAGGGTCAATGGGAATGCATCAACATACAGAAAATGTTTAAATGACACCATCATCACAGCAAAAATAAAATATTATGATGGTGATACTGTTCCCTGCATTTATTACCTTGAGACCTGTCAAGTTTAATGCTATTTTTATCCACCGGAAGACAAAGAATATTAATCTCAGAATACTAATCTCTGCACGGTGAATCGTTAGTTTGCAACTTGAAATAACACATACAAATAACCAATGGAAAACGTGCATAGATTACCTGTTTTACATCCCTATTCTGGCTAAGAATAGTCTTTTTAACTCATGGACTTTCAAGATTTCTTTAGTGGGATTTTATTAAGATGCTGGGATGAAAAAGCTCCAGAGTGCGACTAATAGGGACATGCAACAATAATATTTTCATGTACATTGTTAGGGCATGAAAATATCTTACACAACATTTCCTCTTCCAGTTCAAACCAATAATTTAAAGTAAATATTGCCATTGACAACTGCAAAGTAATGCACGCATCTTGCTATTTATAGATCTCCTATCTGTGAATTGTCTATTCACTGCTACCATAAAGCGCTATTTGAGCATGCAAAGCCATTTAATGTGGACTGGACTGTTTAAAATAGTCCCTCCTGTTCTCTTAAGACAGTGACTACAGAGTGTTTTCTTGTTGGCAATGCAACTCAATTTAAATGCGAAATGACCAAAACTAATTTACTGGTTTAGAACTCCATATTTATTTAAAATCGGGCCCTGAGAAGTAACTTATGAAATATAATAGCACACCATTCATCTAACATGTTATTATACTAGGAAATAGGAAAGACCAATTCAAACAAATTTGTCCAGAGAATAAAGAATTAAAAACAATAGCAATTCTAGTTCCTTTAAGCCTTTTGCTATTTTATGGTTAACTGATAGTTTTTCAGGTAATTTTCCAACATCAGTTAGAATAGATTTGTCAATATATCTATGTCTACTCGTACCAATGTAAAATTGAAGTACTCCCCCCCCCCCCGCAAATGGCTAGAGCTGGAGAAGCTCCTTAAAATTTTTGTACACTAAAAAGGAAAAAAAATCCAACAAATGCTATTATTAATACCATACTGAGAATATGTGTGTGTATATTTTCAGTGTTCTATTAAAGAGTCTTGATACTGATCGTAGCATGAAAAATGGCATAACTTTACCAAGTTATGGTAAAGTTTTTAAAGTTTATGTCAGGAGTCCCAATAAAGAAATCCAACTGCTGCCAAATAGTTCCCAATGAACTCAGGGGAACTGATTTTTGAGAAGCCATGGAAAGGACCGCACTGTCATAAAAATAATAAAATGCTTTGCTTTGTCTACTGAAATGAGATTATTCAGTGATGAATAATTCAAAATGGATTAATGTAAATAGTTTTTCACTTGTCTTAACTGGATTTTTATTGTTTCTTCCTCTGATTAATTTTTGGTCTTTTTAATAACATATTAGATATGAAAAAGAAATCTGAAAGCTGGTAATAATCAACATCTAGTAATGACGTCTCCATATGATGTTCCCCATATGAATCGTGCAGGAAGAGGGCTGTATGAGTCTAATACATCCACCAGAAGGATGGTCTCTTCCTTTCCCCTCCGTTCTCTTTGAAGTTTCATTGTGTGAGCAGAAACCAGCTCACACTAACATTAATACAGCAGCCTCGGGAACTGTATGTAAAGGCTGCCTTCAGATGACTTTCATGCTTTTAAAATGGATGAGGGGAGAACAGAAATTCAGATGAATATCAGACTCAGATCTAGTCTGTGCATCCAAACAAAGAGAAACCGACACATTTCACAAAATATTCCAATAATTGTGATAACTGTCCTCTCTTCCAGAGAAATGAGGAAATTCATAACCTTTTAAGTGAAGGCAATGTGCCACACTAAACTAAAAAAGTAAAATGAAGAAAATTAAACTAAAATGAAGAAAATAAAACAAAGGAAAAGAAAGGACTTATCCACTTCATTACGAACTTTTTTTAAAAAAAATTATCAGATACTCCTCAGAAAGAATGAAATGGAACTAAACATTTCCTTCCTGGACTGTGTTCAAGTTCACTAAATATTTTGGCTTTCTGTTTTGATATTTATAAGCATTCACAAACTTTCTAAACTTGCTTTAAAAATATAGCTTGGCGTGGTAAATGCCTTACAACAGTGCAGTAGGAAAACCCATGACGAAGCTGACAGCTTCTTCCTTGCATGAAAGCCCATCCAAACAATTACCTCAAATTCCTTCACCTTTTCCATGGTTATCAGGTATCTTGATGTGTGGTTGGAAAGCGCCTGCTCACAGTTGCTAACGAGTTTCAGGCAAGGGTGCTGAGGTATAATCTCTTCTGTATATCTGGAAGGAATAAACAGTCAAAGAGCTTATGAACGGTAATATGTGAATCTGAAACAGAACCGCCAGAGGGGTTGATTCAAACTGAATTAGACTATACACTTCCACATGGTTCATAGCCTTATTAAATTTTCCAGAAACAATGTGTGCTAATTGCTTTCAGAATCCATAGTTATTTGTACAGTAGACAGAATGCAGAATGCAGAATCAGAGAAAGAAAGAAAGAAAGAAAGAAAGAAAGAAAGAAAGAAAGAAAGAAAGAAAGAAAGAAAGAAAGAGGGAATGAGAGAGAAAGAAGAAATCAAAAGCTAAGATGAAGGTGAAAGTTTGGTTGTAAACAGGATGAATACCATATGGATTTTTCCTGCAACAGTCATTTAAACAAATTGTGAAAATCTGTCTGATAGAAGAGTTTGAAAAAAACCTGTCCATACAATGCTAAGCTGTTTTTCTAAATCTAACAAATATGTTTCTGCCATCCTGAGCTTATTAGAACAAGGAGAAGTTACATATGTAATTAATTCCTATTTTCTAAACTGCAAACTCTTTACCAATAAATCCAAATGATTTCATTTACAATAAAGTCTAGCAAACATCCAAATTTCTTAGTGCTCATTGCCTTCTTTTCCAACTAAGAGCTTATAGCAAAATAATATACAAAAAGGGAAAATATCCAGTTTCAGAATCTATTCTCTCCTGCTCTATATATTAAAATCTGAGAAGTACTATAATACAGAATATTCAACATTACTGATGCTCAAGAGGCTTTTTGAAGAAGACATACTCTGGTTTGTACACAGGCAGCCAGTAGACCAATCTTCCTCTAACCACCAGATACTCTGCCGCAAGTTTTAACAGGTCAAAGATTATATCACTCAGTTGATAATTTGAAGAAACGAGGTTGTGATTTTCAGAGCTAGGAGATATTTTGAAAAGTAATTAGTTGGCAACAGCTATTGTTACTTGAATGTTTCACAGTAAGAACAAAACACAAATATTTATTATCTATTACAGAAATTGCAAAGTTTTTTCCTAACCTTACATTTAAAAAATGCACTAATCTGCCCAGTCTGTTCAGTCTAAGAAAAAATACATTTGAACAGAGTTTCTCAGCTAAAATTTGAATTTAAGACAAGTTAATATGCACTATAAGAAGAGCAAAATTGTAGCAGTAATGTAGAAATTAAAACAGAAAGGATCTGGAAAAACAAAACATGATTAAAGATAAACTTTGTAAACTTTGGTGGGAGATGGGGTGGGAGAGGAAGTATATTCCTAAGCAAAAGACTAACTTGAACTGGGAAATGATACAAGATTATACTTGGTGGAGGTTTCTAACTGAGGATTGCTGGTCAACATTTTAAAGCATAGCCTTACTGGGATGCAGAACAAATGTATAATGTGGAATCAGCTTTACAAATCCTGTTATATATAGGAGTGTGGACAAAACAGAACATATTTTTGCTTTGAACCCCAAATAATCAACTGCATTGCAAAAGTTCAGCCAAACCATTTCAGATCAGCCATGGCTTGGCAGAACAAAACCTTTAATGTTTTTGGGTCTTTGCCAAAACAAAACCCACAGAATCCCAAAAATGATGTAATGGGCTGAATATGGCAAAACTGGTGTGCATCACCCCCTCTCTCCCCTCTTCCTCCTCCTGTATGTCTGTTTGATCCTCCTCCCTCCCTCCCTCCCTCCTTCCCCGGAGCCACTGCTGTAGCTCCAGCATGACCCATCCCACTGTCTTGCCTTATCATGGCCTTCCTTTCCCTGCCTCTCCTTAGCCACCACTGCCCGCATCAAGATTATTTTCTGCCCTCACCTCCCAAAGCCACTCTTATCCAGAACAACTATGTTTCGTTCCACATCAGGAACAAAATGGGGCTGTTTTGTTCTGTATATCAACCAAAACATCCAAAACATACACGTTTCAGACATGCATGACAGAAAACCAGCTGTTCCACGTATGGAGCATGTTATTATCTGTTATTGCAGATCTTCAAAATCACAATGACATCTGGTAAGATTCAGATGAAGAACTCTAATTAACATGAGGGAATAGTCTTTTCTGCGAATTTTATCTATTTTCCAGAGATTACACCAAAACACATCACCATTTTCCATATGGGAGCAATAATTTAGATAAATTCCTAATCCCAAAGTTTATCTGAGAAGTATAAGAGATACACAGACCAAGCAAATGCTACATAAAAACTCTCTAATTAAAAACAGCACAGTTGAATTGGTTACTACTTTGGCAGAAGATTACAGCATTCAGCAAATGCTTCCAAAGCCACAGCTAGCTTTCTGTTCAGATATGTGCATTCACAATCCAAACTTTACCTACCTTTTTTCAGTCATTTTTGCTGTTTCCTTCTGTGAACCAATTTTTCTGGTGGCTTCTCGAATGCCATATGGTGCTATAAAGGAAAAAAAGTGCAAGACACATATTTCAGTTGCTTCTGCTGCATAACATAACAGCAAGTATTTTCTCTGTAGCCTTAATATACAAACATATATACATACATTTGGGGCCTGTAACCCAATTTTTGAACCAACTATACTGAGTTTTTGCCCCCTATACTGAGGGGGCCTGTTGCATTTAAAGCCCTATCGCCTGAGGGTGGATAGTTTAATAACCAGGTGCTCCCACACGGACTGGCCCATCCGATATTCTACCCCATATCTAGTCACCGATAAAGCCTGCATTGATGAACTAACCCACAGAAAACTCTGCAGCAATAAATTGGCTAATCTTTTGACACAGCACAGAACTCTAAGCTAGAGAGATGAAGCGGCTTTCTCCAAATCAACATCCAGCTAACTGAATTTGATCCTGCTTCACTGCTGTCTATGCTGGTTGTATCTGAACACAATCCATTTTTTAAAAAGAGGTTATTTTAGCCCGCTGTGGCCTGAATTACCTTTTATTTAGTCTTTTGCCACTTGCTTTGGGCATCTCAAGGGAATGGGAATGAGGATGCAAGTATTTCTAATGATGAGATGGTGATAATCTACCAAGCAATCCTTCTTCTTTGCGACTGCTTTCCACAGAGGTTAGAATGTAGAGGAGACAGCCCATCTGCTGGTATCCAGACCCCTAAGCTCCCCTGAGCTAATTGCTTTTATTAATTTCCTCACCATCAAGATCCACCAGGCTTTGGAAGTGATGGGTGGTCTGCCACCATGCTCCTCCCCCTCCTTAGGAAGGACTGTTCTCTTATTCATGCATCAAGTTTAAAGTGTTGTTAAATGTGCAGCAGAACTTTGATGTGATTCTCTTTAGCTAGATAATATATGGGAGCGCTTACAAATGTTCCATTAATCTCAACAAACCCCAAACTGAAACCACTGAAATACTATAAAAAGCTCCATTGAATCAAGGACCAGTAGGCATTGCTTTTTAACATACATTGGATTCAGCATTTAAACTTTTGTTGTTGTTGTTGTTGTTGTTG